CACTAAAATGTGGGTAAATAAATTATGACATAATTTAATCATCAGAATAAAATAGAACAATATAAAATGGACAAACTATAGCTATATGCAATAACATGGATAAATATTATAATCATAATGTCAACTGAAAGAAGCCAGGCACAAAGAACACAAAATTAAGTCCTTACAGTTCAAAAAGAACACGCAAAACTAACCTATGGTATTTGGATGTATGCTTTCATGGCAAAACCATAAAAGAAAATTATGGAAGTGAATATCATAAAATTCAGGGCAGTGTTACCTTTGTGGGGATTGGTATTCAGAAGAAACATGAGGGGGTTTTGGGGGTGCTGTCAACATTCCATATTTGACTTTGGTGGTGGTTATATGGGGTTCATTTTGTGATAACTCAGTGGGCTTCACTTTTCTGTATGTTTGTCATAATTTAGAATAAAAAGGTTAAAAGCAAATGGAAAATGTTACCCCTTGTGCTTAAAAGAATTCAATAGCACTTTTTTGAACAACTTCAATAACCTTCCCATGGCCTGAACAGCTTTGACTATGTCTTTCAACCATCATCTTGTACCACTTCTTCTTTCCCAGGCAATACTCTATTCACACTGGACTTCTCATAATTCCTCTACATTTCAATCCCTCATCAAATCCTTTGGCTCTGCCTTCAAATTATATCCCAAATCTTCCTTCTTCTTACCACTTTTACTGCTATCACTTTGGTCTATGCTAAAAGTAATCTCTCTTCATTTATGGAGAGTGGAGAACAAGATCACTGGGGGAGATCTTGGGAGGTCAAGGAACTGACAGGCCAGGGTGCTGGGAGGCTCATCTTTGTAGATGCTGAAATCACCAGGACTCAGGGCAGGAGTGAGTGTGTGGGGAGAGGGAGAGTGAGCCGGGAGGAGTGGAACCCAGGAAACAGAGGCATGGAACCCAGAGGGTTAATGGTAATGTATCCTGGATGACACAACATTTAAATCTGGAGCTTTTGGGAAGCAGGCAGGAAATGTGGTCTGGAAGTGGCAACAAGCAGCAAGGTGGATGCCTTCCCCACTCTAACCCAATGGAACAATTATCCAGACAATGGCATAAAAATTAAAATACTGACTACAAACAAAATCCTACAAATTATAACCAAGTATAGATAGATAGAAAGCAAGCTAGCTAAATAGGTAGTTACCTTTCCTTTGTAATATTCTGCAAGCAAATTGCTAAGTGTTGTTTTCCCTGAAAATTCCGGTCCAAATATGAATACTTTACATGGTGGTGCCGGCATAGGTGGAAGAAGACAGGGGCGTGGGTTCAATAAAAATGTTTTTAACGTTTCTTCTGATGAAAGACAGTACATTTTACCTAGAAAACTTAAAATATACCATAATGATAAACAACTGACAAGATGTATGGACAAGCTTTAAAATTAGGTTCTGAAAATCTTACCTACCTCACAACAAAATCTGGTGATCCTGAGCAAATGTTGCCTTCTTTTAAATTCATGGGACATAGACGTCCCCATTTGCTTCTCTGCCATCTATATCTGGGTGCAATAAGTTTATAAGATGCAAAAGTACGGAACAGCTCCTCCTGTGAATCGCAAAGTATTAAACAATTTTATACATTAAAAATGTGGCCACAAGTTTTGCTGAAATTAGCAGTATTAAACATTTCATTTCTTAATTTGATAGTACAGTAGTATTTAAGAAATAGTTTAGAAAGCAAATTTTGGCTTTTTCTTAATTGCAACATTCTGCACTTGTCCTACATTTAAGAAGACTAGCTTTCATTTCTGTTTAAAAAAAACCTCATTTAAATTTCAGTGAGCAGTTTCTATCATACTGTAGAATGCGCATAAGGTAGATAGAGCATTTTCTATCATCTTCCTTAGAAAACAGATTCTGCAAAATTCTTATTGGAAAAATTTGAAAATGTATCAGAGTTTTAGTTAATTTACCTAAGCTCTTAAATAGTAAGCTGCTATATACAGATTGTTTTCATACATACTTAGCTATAAGTGGTTCTTTCATTCTCAAATTTAAAGTCTCCCTCAGTAATCTTTTCTGTTGGTAACCTCCAGAGAAGTTGAGAAATATTAATACTTCCTTACAGACTTCAGGGATTGCTGAAAGGTTCACCTGTCCTTGTGGCACCTTAGCAGGGGACAAGGGAACTGGCGAGAGATGGCATATCTATTCAAGTCGTTTGCCCAATTTTGAACTTGACTGTTTTACTGTTGTAGAATTGAGGTTGTTCTTCATATATTTTGGATATTAATACCTTATCAGATATGATTTGCAAATATTCTTCTCCATTGTGTGGGTTGTCTTTACATTCTGTGATAGTGCCCTTTGATGCACAAAAGCTTTTAATTTTGCCGAAGTCCAATTTCTCTATTCTTTTCTTTTGTTGCCTGTGCCTTCTATGTCGTACCTGTTTTGTTTTGTTTTACTTAATGCCAGAACCCTATCCCAGAAAATCTGTCTTAACTGGTCTGGGCACTGGTATATTTAAAAAGCTTCCTAGATGACCTCACTTTGCATTCAGGACTGGACATCACTGATTCAAATATTCCCACTATATTATTTTTCTAAAAATCACCTGTGTTTAGCGGAAGGGCATTCATCTACAGTCTTTCAAAACACACAGGAACCTGTAGATCAATCAACTTTAATCAACCAGGCTTCTTTACTATCCCAAACATTAAAGTAGGGGTTCTCAAACTTAACTGGGTATAAGGATTCATTCTGGATCTTATAAAAATACATTTTCAGGTCTCATCTCCATGGAGCTAAGGAGTTTGTATTTGCAGAAAGCTTCCCAGGTGATTTTTTTGGGGGTAGTCTGGACTGCCAGGGAGAAATATTGCTTAAGGGACAGGAATAACGACTCAAGTGCACATAGTCAAAAATTCTTCCCTTTTACGAAAAAGAGAGCAGGCACACATATTTATACATCTTATGAACTACCACCTGTGCCAACATATGCAATAATTTCTAAGGACAAACTTTCTAGCTGCAAAGGTTTTTTTTTGCCTGCAGGTTTTATGGATACTTTTTCTTCTTCCTTCAATAATGACCTATAAGAGGAGCCCTCAGCACACAGTTTATTTTTCCTGGCCTTTGTGCTGACCTGGTCCACCTTTCTTTCTCTTCAGCACCAGTGCTCATAACAGAGGTCCCAGCATGTACTCCAGCTACGCTGACCCATTGAGATCTATGAAATATGTTGTATGGGATAACAATATGACCTCTTTCCTCAAAGATTATTTTATTTGAATTATGGTATCTTTTTATGACCCTGTTATATGATTTTTTTTTTAAATTTTCTACTCAAATAGATGAAACTAAACTTCCCAAATAGAGCCAATCTTTCATTTTAAAGTCCCTGTGGCCCTTGTAGCACTTAGCAGTTATTATTGTATCTCCATTCAAAGCTCATCAGGGTCTGGAACACAGTAGTTCTGCGGTCCCCAACCCCTGGGCCACAGACCAGTATCAGTCCATGGCCTGTTAGGATCTGGGTTGCACAGCAGGAGGTGAGCCATGGCAAGCGAGCAGAAGCTTCATCTGTATTTACAGCTGCTCCCCATCACTCGCATCACCGCCTGAGCTCCGCCTTCTGTCAGATCAGCTGTGGCATTAGATTCTGCATTATGGTGAGCTATATAATTATTTCATTATATATTACAATGTAATAACAATAGAAATAAAGTGCACAATAGGTGTGATGTGCTTGAATCATCCTGGAACCATTTCCCCCATCCCCCTGCTGGTCCGTGGAAAAATTATCTTCCATGAAACTGGTCCATGGTGCCAAAAAGGCTGGGGACCACTGCAGCAGTTACTAAAAAGAATTGATTGAATGATTGAAGCAATGAACGAGTGTATAGAGTTGAGGGCCTTTATGTCTTTGCCTTCTTTGATGCTGCAAAAAGAAACTCGGGTTTTTTCCTTTTTCATTATTCCTATGGTTAATTGTTCTGATTTTATTGTTTTTCTGTTTCCAAAGCTTTGCTGTGTTGTGTTTAGTGTCTAAAAGAATATTTTGCTGATATTATAGCTTCTTCTGAGAAGTCAAATCCATTTTTATAAAAGGTATCCTGAAACTTCTTTTAAACCTTAAAAGGACACAATTAAGGTCACAACATATATTGAAAAGGTAGACTTCCAAACAGTTAAATGTAACTTACAGTTTCCAATGAGTCATTAATTTCTTCTTCTGCACCCTGAAGTTTGGTTAAAACAGCTGCTTTTTTTAGGTTCAGATATTTAAGTCGATCTACAACTATCTGAATTAAAAAACAAATGTTTAAATACGTTAGCATTTGAATATCTCAAACATCCTAAGAAAGTGATGGGCTCGTGGTTCAAGCCCATGTTCCTTCTTGGACTCTGGGTGGATGCCTTGATTACTTCCTCCTGGCTTCTGGTGGTTTGGTGACATCTTTGGTGTTTCTAAACTTGTATATGCAGCACTCCAATCTCTGCCTCTGATGTCACATAGCCAACTTCTCCCTGTGTGTCTCAGTCTTTTCTCCTAATCCATATGGGATTAGGACCCACCCTCATGCAGTATGACCTCATCTTAAGCTGATTACATATGCAAAGACCTTTATTTCCAAATAAGGTCACATTCACAGGTATTGGGGTTAGGGTGTCAAAATATCTTTCTGAGGGACACATTTCAACTCATAATAGTCTGCCCTCTGGCCCACAAATATTCACATCCATAGAGGTCTGGGTCTACAGGACCTCTTTGGCAAAGAGAAGACAGTCATGTGAAGATGGAGGCAGATAATGAAGTTACGCTGTCGTAAGCCAAGAAATGCGTAGGGCCACCAGAAGCTGGAAGAGGCAAGGCTGGATCTTCCCCTAGTGGCTTTGGAGGCAGCATGGCCAAGCCAACACCTTGATTTTAGACTTCTAGCCTCTAGAACTCTGAGAGAATAAATTTCTGTCATTTTAAGCCACCCAGTTTGTGGCACTTTGTTGTGGTAACCCTAGGAAACGAATACAGACCCTATGTGGAAGAATCTGAAAAAAAATAAAAATAAAAAGAGAATAGTATATAGAATGATGAGATGAGAGATGGTAAGATAGACAACATCCTGACGGTATGTGGTAGTCTGTGGTAGATCATGTTATTTGTTCACGATCAACCTTCCCTGCCCTTGCACATTAATTCCCTAGTTCACCTTGAGTGAAGTACGCCTCCTTACCCCATTAATGTTGAGCTTCTCTGTGTATTAGTATCTTGCTCTGGCCAATGCAATCAATGTGGGTGAAGTGCCAGAGAACCAGCTCTAACTGGAGTCTTCACAGGCCTGGCAGGTTTCAAACAGGCCTCTTGGAGTTTCTGTCCTCTACTTTGGAAAGTGTGTCCCAGGTAGTAGAAAGTGGTGAAATTCTGGCTATATTGTGAAGGAGAAGCCTGCTGTGTAAGCTGATGGATGGGACGTGGGTTGTGAGAACACAAAAAGAGGAGGGCAGCTGGCTGGATGGCTTTGACATTTAATGAAAGAACTGTGGAGGGACGTATTTGGGGCAGGGTGGTTGTTGAGGGGGGTGTGGAATTTGACCTTGCACGTTTTCATCCGAGATGAGTATTAGACATCCAACTGGATATAGAGCAGCTGAGTAGCAGCTGACGAGTATGGAATTCAGGGGAAAGATCTGGGATAGTAACACGAACTTAAGAGTTGTCAGTGTTTAGAAGGTATTTAAAGCCGCTAGACTAAAGAAAGTCTCCTAAGGAGTGAGGGCAGACAGACAAGAGTTCACAAGGAGTGAGTCTGGGGTTCTCCAACACTAGAGGTTAGAGATTTAGAGTGTCCAGTATGGTGCAATGGACTGACCGTGGTGTGGGGTTCGAGGAGCCAAGGGAGGAAGACAGCAGGGAGGAAGAAGTAATCGGCCATGTCGAATATCACTTCTAGATTGAATTAGGTGGAGACTGAAAAATGACCATTGGCTTTGGTCGTGAGGAAATCGCTGGTGATCTTGGCAGGAGTGTGTCTCAAGTAAGGAGCTTCTCCCTGATTTGGCTCCACCGCTAGCACTATTACCACCTTGCCACCAAGGAGATCAAGCCAGAAATCTGGGCATTATCTTTGACTTTTCTCTCTCCCTTAATTCCTACATTAAGTTGCTCACCAAGGGCTGTCATGTAGACTTTTTACATCTCTCTCAAATCCATCCTCTTGGTCTATTCCTACAGTCACTACCCTAGGTTAGGCCACCATCTCTTACCTGATCTATGGCAAATGAGAGAACTAGCCTTCCTATCACCAGTTTGATTCTCTGTCTGTTTTTACTTTGCGCTGCATGCTGAACGATCTTTCTTAGATAGAGATCGGATCATTTTCACTCTTTAACTTAAAATCTTTCAGTGGCTGCCTAATCCCTCATGATGAGGTCTAGCCTCCTCGACACGGCTGACAAGGTCTTTCTTTCCTGGTGCAACGCCTGCTTATTTCTAGAGTCTGGGCACTATTCCCCCAACGCCCGGCAATCCCCCTATGTTCCAGTTCTACATTCAGTTCTTACAACCCACTATGCTCTGCCTCTGGGGCCTTTATGCAGAATCGCAGACTCTTCCCTCAGCATAGAACAGTGCCCCATCTTCCTCCTCTCCCCTAGTCTTCAAGGTCTAACTCTTACTGGTTCTTTAAGTTTCAATTTCAAGATAATTTCAGACAGGTGGCCCTCCTTAGCAAACTAGGTTTTGTCCTTCTGCTATGAGCATTTGTGATACCTTCTACTTCCCTGGCGATAACACAAACTGCTCTCTAAATATTTATTTTCCCCACTATATTGATACTACATCAGGAGAGGGATGCATGGACTCATCTGCCTCCTTCCCATCTGTACTCCTAGAGCTTATCATGATGCCAGATGTTTAAGAAATAGTTACCGTATTTTGTATTATCTTATTATTTATTGTAAAATATTTTTGGGTTCTAAATTTCTCCACATCTTTACCAACACTTGTTATTATCTGTTTTTGTTTTGTTTCTTATCATGATTATTATTATTATTCTTATTGACTCTGGCCATCTTAGTGGATATGAAGTGGTATCTCATTATGGTTTTGATTTGTATTTCCCTAATGACTCTTGATGTTAAGCATCTTATCACGTGTTTATTGGTTGCCATTTGCTTTCACTTTTCTTTGAGGCACTTTTTGTCATACTGAGATTTTAAATTCAAATGTAGTTTCGCTTTAGGTATGGACAGATGAATAAATATAACATCAAAAATTTTAATTGTCAGAACAAATTTTTCAAAAATAAATGGTGTTAAAATACAAGTAAATGTTTCTGTTTATTAAAATAAGTTACAATACTGTCCGTAGAGTATTGTATTGTATTTCAAACTGTGAGGTCTTGCTGCTGAACATTTACTCACCGTGAAGAGCTCATCTGGTGGCTTATTTCCATCTAGCTCAATGAGATACTGGGGGTCGTGTTCAGCCATCATTTCCTGTAGGTAATAGAAAAGAAAGCTTATAATCTGGGATCACTGGGAAAACTGAATACAAGGTCAGAATCTTAATATGTTATGAAGAAATGTTCAAAGCTAAATTGTTTGCTGTATACATGCTATAATGTATGCTATTTTGAGTGCCGAAGAGATCTTTTTGCAAAAGCCCCAACCAGTCTTCTCACCATGAATTTTATTTATTCTCCTGTTTTTTCAGTTCTTTCTCTATACTGAAGTTTTAATGTCTTTAATGTCTTTCCCAATACAAAATATTTTGGGGAATCTGTTTATCTGTACATACTTGTAGCTTTGTTATTTGACTTCGAACCATAGAAGAGTCTTATTGATATTTAAACACTGACGTTCTTCACATAGATACTAGCATTGTTAGGAAAATACAACATCTTTTTATTATTTTAAGACACATTTCTTCTTGTAGGAAATTTAAAAAACAGAAAAGCAGAGAGAAAAAGGTCTTTAACCCAGTCATCCAATGGTAACTACTACTACTGTTTTTCTCCCATCTTTTATTCCATGGAAAATTGGCATGTTTGAGATCATAACTTTTTCACTTAACATAAACAACATTCCCTATACTGTTATAAGATTACTGTCAACACATTTTAATGGTTTTATAAAATTACATATTGTGAATATAGCATAATTTATTTAATGTTCCTTTGCTGTTTGACATTTAGGTATGTTATAATATTTTGCTAGTTTTCATGCATTTCTTTTTTTAAAAAAGATTTAAAAATTACATTCTTTTTCAATAATTACAAAAGTAACTCGCACTAACTGCAGCCAGTGAAGGAACACAGACAAGTACACCAAAGCTGTTAATATGACCTCTCCTTGTTCCTCCACTCTGTCCCCCAACCAGGTGTGTCTTTTTTCTCACCATTCTTCTCATTGATATAAATATATGCACATATATAAATGTTTGATAACACTGAATAAGCATCCTTTGGCATGTCCTGATATATTGGATGTATAGGCCAGATTTCTAAAAATAGGTTTTAATACTAATACAGGTAGGTATTGCTAATTAGTTCTCCAAAAGGTTGTGGCAATTCAAAACTCTTACCAGCAATGTTTGAGAAAGTTCATTTCTTCCTGCCACCATTGTCTATTTTAGATTTTACATTTTCTACCAAACTGAGCTGAAAACTGGGATCGGTTTGTTTTTACTTTTGACTTCCCTGGTGAGGTTCAGCATTCACATGTGTGTCTCTGTGAACTGCTGAATCATAACCTCTGTGCGTTTTCCTATTAGATTGTTTATTTTCTCTAACATTCATGTAAAGAGTGTTAACCCTTATCTGGCATATGGATTGAAAATATTTTGCCTTTCTGTGATTTATCTTTTGACTTTGTTTATGGTGTCTTCTGCAATATAAAGTATTTTGATAGTCAAATATATCTGTTTTCATTGTTTTTAGATTTCCTTTCTTGTTTAAACTAGATATCACAATATTATATTAATATTCTTCTATTTATTTTTAACATTAAAATCTAAAGTCCACTGGATTTTATTTTTGTCCATTGACAATGTTGAACTCTATCTGAGCCCTGTGTCCCCAGAAAGTAGAGATGGCTGAGAAATAAGGTCCATCTCCATCCTTCCTCAAGGAGACTCAGATAATATCTGTCTCCATCCCTCATGACTCTGTGAGACTCAAAGATTTGAGTCTTCCATAAACCCCAGCCCCCTTCCATTTCTTTCAGGAGGTCCTCATTAATGAATGTTCTCCCTATTGCAACAGTCTCAACAAAATCATCCCTTTCATTATCCAGTGCATTTTGTTTCTCACAACATTGTGCAAGGTTGGATTTTAAGTGCTTTCTTCTAGACAGACAGCAGATTATGCCAGCATTATTTATTTAACCATAAATAACCACGTTATGAACAAGGCAGTACTTAATGCTCTTCTGTATCTTAGATTCTTTCCTTAAGCTAAATTTAATCTTAAAGAATGGACTTACTAAGTTGAAGGGCATGAACACCCATGAGGAAGGGGACACCTGCAGCAGGAGTAGAGTTGGGATTCACTTGATCTTGGCCAAATGGCCGAGAAGTGATGAACTGGGATTCAAAGGCAGGCAAGAATGAGGGCCTGGCAGGGGCTTACCCTTGAAACAGTGTGGAGAACATAAACCAGGAAATGAAGCGTCATGGTTTGTTCCCAGTTGCTTTCCTTGTTTATCTTGGAGACACACTGAACTTTGGTGGCCTCCAAGTAAGTGACATCCCAGCTAGGTCAGAGGAGACTAGAATCGTAGACTTTTTATGGCTCTGCCCTCTCCCTCTACACACACCCGGACCAAAGAATTACCATACAAGGCAATTGTTTGACTATTGAGCTAGTGTGTCACCCAGGCCTAAAGTCTAGGTTCTAGGTTCTTGGCTTTGAAATTCTTACTCTGTTGGCACTAGGGCAACGAATTCTTACCTATCTGCAGGGCCTAGAAGTTTCTACTTCTAGACTTTTTGTCTAGTATGTAACGGCCACACTAAGTTACGTTCCTTTTAGCAGGGTATCAGAGTGCTTCGCCATACACTTGCTAGCATTAGGGATTTTTTTTTTTTTATTTCAGGATATTATGGGGGTACAGATGTTTAGGTTACATATGTTGCCCTTACCTGCCCCCAAGTCCGAGTTTCAAGTGTGTCTGTCCCTCGGATGGTGCGCATCGCACTCTTTGTGTATGCATACACCTGTCCCCTTCTCCCCCCCTCTCCCCCAGGGATTCTTATTACTGGTTCATTTTTTAAATTTTGATCATGGAAATGATATTTCATTTTTTAGATTATCATTTTATTATTAGTGAGGCCGATCATTTTCCTACAGGCTTGTTACCCTTTTGTTTTTCTTTTTTGTTAATTGCTCATATTTGTTGCCCATTCATCTCAGAAGAGGGTGAGGTTTTAAAAAATCATTTCTATGACCCTTTAATATTTCAAAGCTTTAACTCTCTCCTCATAGTTAATGTGGATATTTTTCCCATTTGTTGTCTTTTAATTTGAGTGAGGCTTTATTGATTTATTTATTTGATTTCCAGAGATTTACATTTAATGAAATTGAAGCTATCATTCTTTTTCCTTCACAATCTTGTCATTTGACCACTGCACTGGGTATCAGCAATGTGAGGAGGTATGACCTGGTGTCTGTCCTTAAAGAGATCACCTTTGCATTTTTTCCCCCATGGATATAGTTTTCTATATTCTGAATCTGATGCTAATTTTGCTTTATTTCATACCCAGGGCCAGCCAGTTATGGTGTACTCGGGGTACTTTTGTTGAAGGAAGAAAGGATGTTACTGAAAGTCATGTAATTTACTTGTAAGAAGCTATGTTTAAAGGCCAATGATAGAAGGAGAAGTGGGGAAGGATAAAAGCCATATATAAGAAAACAATTAAATGTGGTTCTCATTTTGGGAGATGGATGATGAGAATGAAAAGGATCCACTCATTTGTCTTAAAAAATATGAACATAAAACATCATGAAACAAATTCTTTTAGTTTCTCTATCGGAAGGGAAGAGGCAATTTGAAGACTTTTTTGTCTTCACAGTTCTGTTGCTTAGCATAGTGTCTGGCCAAATACCCAAGTTCAATAAATGTTTGTTGACTAAATCTCCAACACAGCTGCCTATATTTGGCAGACTCTTCCCTGGATTTTTGACCATATAAAATATGATTTTTGCATAATTATAATCTCAGTAATCATACTTTTAAAATACTAATTATTTTAATTAAAACTTTTCTATTGTAATACATATGACCTTATCATATTTACATGTAATCAACTTTGAATGGACTAACCATAGAAAGCAACCTGGGGATAACAATTCTTTAGATTGCAATTTAACTAAATTAATAATTCCTTTTAGAAGAAAAGGTAGAGCTTCAATGGACATTTGTTTTGATAAACATCATGTATTGAAAATGTTTTTATAAAACAGTATCTTAACACAAATTTTCTAACCCCACCCACAAATGAATTCCCTTAATGACTTGAAAACTGCAGTTCATTTGTCACTTTCCGGCAACAGAGTTGCTTTGTGAGAGTACAACAGTATTACTGTGGGAAACAGCCTTTGGGATGGAATTCTTTTCCCAATAGCTTTCTACTAAACTCAAGAGGAGAATCCGACAGATAATACATGGGAATGAAGACATGAAAGCTATTTAACCAGTGATGAAACACAAATATCAATATTCCCATTTTTAGAATATATCTTGTCCTTACTTCTAAAAAATGAAGAATCGTTTCCTTATAGAGTTTAACAACATTTTCAACATTTTCCAAATAGTCCTCAGGCCTCTGAACTAGATGGTGAAGAATTTCAGCCACCATCTGCATTTCAGCAAGGAACGCCTAAATGGAAAGGAAGAGATTTTAAATATCTTTAGGTCAATAATTATTCAATTTACAAGCCACATTCCTCCCTCTTTACACCTAGATATCATTTTGGGGTGAGAAGCAGGGGAAGGGGAAGATTAGAGACTGAGGATTTTTATCTAAGAGAGACTAAAGTCTCCTAAGGGGTCTTTATCAGGTGGAATAGTGCTTTAAACTGACTTGGATATTTACTAATTTATTTTTGCTTCCCAATAAGTAGGGAAGAGTAGCAGAAGAACATCATATTTTTAAAGACAAAATAGAGATATTAGATTTTCTCTGAATGCCTGAGTTTGTAGTTCATTCATTCAGTAAGCATTTATCAAGTACATACTATGTGTCAGCCATTGTTCTGGGAACTTGAGCTACAAAATTAAACAAATCAACTAACACCCTGGGCTTATGGAGCTCACATTGCAGTTGGGGAAGACAGAGCATACACAAACAATAAATATATATTAGGTGGTAAATACCAGGAAGAAAAATAAGGCAGGGTAGAGGGTATGGAGAGTGATGGGAGAAGCTGCTATTTCATATCAGATGGTCAGAAGAGGGTTCTCTGAAGAAATGACATTTGAGTTGAACCCAGAAAGAAGTGGGCAAGAGAGCCACACAGGTTTCTAGAGAAAGAACATTTCAAGACAGAGGGAACAGTATGTGTAAGAGTTCTCAGCTCAAGGCCTGACACATGTTAAGTGTTCCATATTATATTTATTATGATAATTACTCATTGTTTCCAGTTTTCATCAATGCATACACATACATATTTTACACAATTTGAATCATATTATCTGTACAAGCCATTTTATAATCTTTAAAAAATACTATTTTAGTGGTCAAATAATATATTAATTTTCCTGAATATATGCCACCCATCTGTAAAAGAATTGTCTTTCATGAAACTTAGGGAGGAAAGGGGCGCACAGCAGGAGGTGAGTAAGCAAGTGAAGCTTCACCTGTATTTACAGCCTCTCCCCTCCCCATCACTCACATCACCACCTGAGCTCCGCCCCATCCCCCCATCCCCGCTCCTCCTGCCCCCGGAAAAATTGTCTTCATGAAATTGGTCCCTGGTCCCAAAAAGGTTGGGGACCGCTGCTATAGGACAATAAAAATGGGACTTTTGGGGCTTATCTTTTCTACTGGACAAATGATGTGCAATGTATCCATCTATAAATTAACATCTGACTTCACAGAGTCCAGCCCCTAATAGAAATAGTTGATCACAGGCACATTTCACTAGAGCAGAGATGGGCAAATTGTGGCCCTTTCCACCCTGGTGGGCCAAATCCAGCCCAGCACTTGCTAACAGATTTCTTAACATGAAATTTTTCTCTTTAAGTCATGATAGAAGAGTCTTTCGATCCCTGTTCATTATGTTTAGTAGTATTTACTTTAGGATTGTTATAACAATATGTACATGTGAAATTGGACAATGCACTTCTTTTCATGTGCTCTCTGTCAGTTTGGAATCAGGGTTGTGTTAGGTTCGAAAATTGAATTATGCCTGGGCTACTTTCCCCAGTGTGGCAGTATTAAGAGGTGGGGCCTTTAAATGGTGATTGGGTCATGAGGCCTCTGCCCTCATAAATGGATTAATAGATTACTGGGTTATCATGGGGGTAGACTTGGTGGCTTTATAAAAAGAGGAAGAGAGACCTGAGCTAGCATACTCAACCCCTCGCCGTGTGATGCTCTGTAGCACCTTGGGACCCTGCAGAGTCCCCACCAGCAAGAAGGCTCTCATCAGATGTGTCCCTTCAACCTTGGACTTCTCAGCCTCCATAACTGTAAGAAATAAATTCCTTTTCTTTTAAATTATCCAGTTTCAGGTATTCTGTTATAAGCAACAGAAAATGGACTAAGACATACTCCAATTCCATATTCTAACTTGCATAGTGCTTGACACATAGTAGGTGACTAATAACTCTGTTGCTGTGACATGATTCTTCACTGCCGGACTCACTGCCAGAAGACAGAGGGACTTCTATACTGACAAGAAGGTTAAACTTGACTTCAAGATTATGATCTCAGAGTTCTTGAAAACATGAAATATTTTTGTTTATTTCCTTCAGATTCAATAAAAATGTAAAGAAAATGTAATTTTCTCTACTATCTGCTATTTCCCATTATCCACACTATCATTTAACTTAATTGTAGCAAATTTAAAAACTATAGTGTATGGTAATGACCTATGGGGATATTACCTCTTCTTCTTCTTGTTCTTCTTCCTCTTCTCCTTCCTCTTCTACTTTTCCTTCTTTTAGGGCTTCTTTCTTCCTTTTCCTACGACTCTCGATGACTTCAGGATCCCACTGATCTCTGGTGTATATGTATCCCGTATTACTATGCTGTCTTTGCCCAGAAATTCTTTGGCATAAATCATAGTCAGGGCACTAAGGAACATTATTAAATCACTTAAACCATTTTGAATATGCTTTAATTCCATGTGTATTTATTGCATATATTATGTAATAAATGAACAAAAATTCATTAAAAACCTTAGCAAATACAATATTATGATTGGCATTTTGCATTGGGTTTTATTACATGCCAAGACACAACATTTATTACAAGACACAACTTCTATGATATGCCAACATTTTTATTTGCCTGAAATTAACAAATGTGAGAAAGTATTACAAGTTCTAAGATGAAGAAAGAAGGTTAGAAGAACAACAGAAAAAGTAGAGAAATACAATAGAAAATTAGTTGAGTCTGCAAAGGTACACAGGAGGATTCTATCAGATTAGTTGGAAAAGGCTGAACATGGTGGAAATATCCACATATTTCTAGCAAAAAATATAGTGTATTTGAAATATTTACTATCACTTATGACTTTATGGGTGAAATAGTTCATAAAATGCCAGTCATGGGTAGGACGTGAAAAGATCATCTATTCTAGCCTAACCTTTAAATTTTGCAAATGAGAAAACTGAGTACAGATTGTTAAAAAAAAAAAAAGCCAAAACCAAAGACTACAAGTCATTTTCTTGTTTCAAAGTGCTCTCACATGTTCACATGAGAATTTCACTCAATTCGCAACTGACCTTGTAAGGTAAGCAATCCAATATTGTTATTAAAACCATTCTGCAGGTCAGAGAAGTACAGCTCTGGCAGGTTAAGAGACTGGTCTCAATCACAATTTCATATGGAGAAACTCAACTTGGAACCAGGCCTCCTGATGCATAGTCCCTGCTCTGTGGGTGCATTATTAATGACAATTATGGGTTGGAGCTGTAAATCCTTCTCTGAATAGTTTTCAGGATAAAAAAATCTGGTTGATATTGTATGGCAGTGATTCTCAAACATTAGCGTGTAACTGAGTATGACGCATCTAGGGACCTTGCTAAAGAGATTTCTGCTCCTCCTTGTAATTTAGTAAGTTTGGGGCAAGGCCTTAGACATTTTAACAAACATCCTCAGTGATTCTGATACTCACAGTTCACGTACTACGTGTTGAGAAACAAAGAAAGCAGGAACTTTGGAACCTCCCTTGCTCATTTTCTGATTTCTTCATGCCATCTCTATGTGGAGATGGGATGGGTATTTATTGACGCAAGACTTTTATTTAGGCTTCCTAATTTTTCACAAAAAGGAATTCAACCCATTCAGGTAATTTTTAAAACATATATTTACAATACAGGATACAAGGACCCACATTGTGGCTCCTTGACAAAGAATCACCTTCAGCTGTCTGCTGTTTTCACTTGTAGGAAGTGATTAATAAAAGGGTGCATCCGAAGGATGTGCCTCAGAGCAGTGGTCCTCAAGCTTTAGCAGGCATCAGTGTCACCTGGAAGGCTTTGCGACTCCGATAGCTGGGTGCCACCCCCACAGATTCTGAGTGGGGTCTGAGAATTTGCATTTCTAACAATCTTCTGGGTGCTGCCGATGCCATTGGCTCTGGGACCACACTGTGAGAACTACTATTCTAGTAGATTGCTGGCTTTTGACCATTTTTTGTAGCACAGATCCTTTAGAATAAGATGAAAGCCATAGACTTTTGCTTTGGAAAAATGCACACACACATAATGTTTTGCATATAATTTCAGGAGGTCATGGATTCTGGCTAAGAACTTCTGCTCTAGAAATTCCAGACTTATCCACAAAATAAGGCCAAACCATGAGTGAAGTGAGTGTTGCACTGGGTTATGCCTCACGTTAGGCTCTCTGATAACACTCTGGTTATCCCATGGAAACGGGACACTCACTATCACACTTACAGTATGAATGGGGTTATGGACTTCATTCGCTACATTAAGCAGTCTCTTATATTAGGACTCACATGAGATATTTCTCTCATTTTCAATGGGTGTTTTGTTTTTCCTGAGGAATGGCTTATCTTCTCATTGACAATGTGACTTTTATAACTGGTTACATTTCCCCTTTTACTTTGGTTCGTCAAAATTAGAACCAAATTTATAACCCAAATTTAGTACATTTGGGGTCTTCTGGCTTGTATATCCGTGTGTTCCCTTTCCACTAGGTTTTAATTTCCTATGTAATCAGTCTGTTCCCTGGCTTAGACTTTATATTGGTTTTAGTTAACTGTTAGAGATCTTCTCTCCATTACACACACGTTCACACGTGTGACATTCTCAGGTTCACTCAGGATGTTGGTTGGCCCCTCGTGGTGAGCTGTGGCTACGGCTGCAGATTACACCACACTCAGCAATGCAAGGCCACCTCTCTCACAGCTGACCCTGACACGACACTGGGTCCCAGCGTCTGAGCTGAGAATCATCTAATTTATTTTGAGCTGTCATAAACTCCCTGGGGAAGCAGGCAGGGTATGAATACAAAAGCTTATCATTCATTTTCACATAAACAAGTAGACATCACCTCACTGAATTCTTATCACAGCCCCATAAAGTAGCTATTATTATCTTTGAAAAGGGGAAATTGAGGCTTCTAAATGTGATTTACCAAATTCTAAGAGTTAATAAAGGAGAGAATTAGGAACAGGACCCAGCCTTGACTCTTATTCAATGTAGTAGTGTTCTTTAACCTTCGTATGTCCAAGTCACATGTCTGTTCTTTCATTTTATTTAATTGGTAATCTTATTAGGTGTCACTAGGTATCATACAGTCTACGAGTTGATGTTTCTGTGAGTAAGACATGGCTCCTACCTTCAAGTAAGACAGAGTCTAGGAGGAAATGGACAATTATAATATAGTGAAGTGAGTAATAGGGAGAAGAGAGGAATGTGAGTGGTCATTAGAGAAGTGTTTAACACTCCTGTGGTAAGTACGGTGTGGATGAGAGAGAGAGAGAGAGAGAGAGAGAGAGAAAGAGGTCGTGGAGGGGTGGTTGAAAACATTCCTTGAATTTAACTACCATGAAAAAGAATGGTATACTATACTAGAAAAACAACTAATATCCTTACCTTAATATTGATTATAATATCAGGTTTCAAATTTAAATTTTTAAGTACTTCTATTTGCTGCAAGGTAGTCATGGTGTCCTGTGAAAGTGATGGTATTTCAGTGATAATATAACCTATAAAGTAAAATATAATTTTAGAAGTTTTCTATTACCAATATTATCAATATATGAGAGCATAGATTTATTATTATTACTTTATAAAATATCCTCTAGTTATTGATGAATATTAATGCAGGTGATACAATCATCTATCAAAATTTTTAAATTTATGTTTAAGGTTATTGCCTTAAATATTACACATGAAGTGTAACTATGAATAACGTTTTTCTGATAATAAAAAAAATCATTGAGCTAAAAAGAGACATTTTTAAAAATCCCCAATCAATTTGTTTTAGACAGATGAGGTGCCTAGGGAAGGAAATTCCATGCCAGTAATTCTTTTAAATCATGTTAGGAAAGCTTACATGATGAATGGTAAAGGTATATTATAGGGTTGCATGGCATATTATTTTCTTTCTTAAATTAACATGTCATAATATAATAGAATATATATGTACATGCTGTTTATGTAAGTTATAGAGAGTAATAAAACACCCATGACCCCACCATATAGCTTAAAAAACAGAACATTATCAATGTGATTTTGGCTTAGCACATTTAGTGGCCTCATCCAGAATCCTAAATTTTCTCATTGAAATTCACCATATTTGCCACCATCACATCAATTTTCTTAATATATTTCTTTAATTATGTTATTCTTTCGGTCAAGAAAATTTTTCTTTTTCTTATTTTTTAATATGGGGGGTAGTGAGGAGTGGGGTTCAGTTTCTTTTTTTTGAGACAGAGTCTCACTCTGTAGCCCCAGGTAGAGTGCAGTGGCATCATGATAGCTCACCGCAATTTCCAACTCCTGGGCTTAAGTGATTCTCCTACCTTAGTCTCCTGAGTAGCTGGGACTACAGGTGCGCGCCAGAATGCCTGGCTAGTTTTTCCATTTTTAGTAGAGACAGGGTCTTGCTGTTGCTCAGGCTGGCCTCGAACTCCTGAGCTCAAGCAATTCTCCTACCTTGGCCTTCCAGAGTGCTAGTAGGATTACAGGTATGAGCCACTGTGCCCGGCCAAGAAACTTTTTTCTTATTGATAGAATAAAATCTCAATTCCTTCAGTGGGAATTTAAAGACTTCAACCTATTTTTCTGCTGTTTTTATAGAACATTTTTTCTTGGAAGAACTGACAAACTGTGTTTATTCAGCCGTGGATATTTGGCAGAAATTTTATAAAAAGTGAATGGAGCGAGCCTGTCACTTCAAGGACAATGACTGACAGTATTTGCTGCCAATTATAACATTCAAGTGAAAATTTGAATTTTGGAAAACTTATATCCACCGTTGTAAGCTTAGTAGCTTCCAAATTCTTAGAGATTTTTTTTAGGGAGATTGGTGGTGATATTAACAAATGTGATTTTTTGATATCAAAATAACAAAATGTGTCAACATTCTGCATAACTCAGTGAACCAATATTTTCCAAATGACCAACGCATGGTGGCACAAAATCATGCGTGGGTTATAGACTCATTCCAGTGCAAGACAGACCAATGGATTTTAACGTAACAAAGTTTGAAAAGTTCACTGATATAGTTTCAGATTCCACAACGCAACCAACCTTTAAGAAACTTCCACTTGTTTTGATATAGAATCAAGAATATTCACAATTATTCCAAAGGCTATTAAAATACTCCCCCCTTTGCCAACTAAATATTTGTGTGAAGCTGGATTTTCTTCATGTCCTTCAATGAAAGCAATACATTGCAACAGATTGAGTGGAAGCAGATATGAGAATCCAGCTAGGTTTTCTCTTAAGCCAGACATTGAAGACATTTGCAAAAATGTAAAACAATACCATTCTTCTCACTAAATTTTTTGTTTTGAAAAATATAATTATTTTTAATAAAATATGCTATTTACATTAACATATAGTGGTTTTATTATTTTTTAAATAAACAAATATTTTAAAAGTCTTAGTTTTAATCTCTAATATGGTAAATATTAATAGATATAATCTATGTAAGCAAAAATTCTTATGGGACCTCAACAATTCTTCAATGTAAAGGAGTCTTGTCACCAAAAAGTTTGAGAACCACCATTCTACACAATGCCTAGAATAGTATAATTTAAAAAGTCACTAAGCATCTGCTGATAGATGAATGAATAAATGTATCTAATAAACCAGCTTCAAATACCTCACTTGAGAACATGCTGATAACAATCTCTTATTTTAAAAAAGCAGACCAACAACCATCCCAGTAATCCAAAATCTAATTAAATGCTTAGATATGTGCTGATTTCTCCTAAGTTCTTTTCAAACACTTTGCTTTCTGCTAACTATGTGTTGGATACTATCCAGAGAAGCAATCCTAAGTAATTTAACTTTAAAAGGCAGAAAGGAAGACCTTGTTATTTTGGTTTTGGATATATAAGCTATAATTATGATTCCCTCCTGTCTTGCTATAATCCTTAGTTGCCAACTTGGCTTACTCATGTGCTCTTGCTGTTGTCTTAGGAATAGTGTGGTGTCAAAGGCATCCCTCCTATTTGAGGTTCATTAAATGAGCCCAGTTCAGCTTTGCAAAAATGTAGCCACTGCATGCACCGTCTCATCCACTGTCTCTGGCCTTTCTCTGCTTGCCCCTCCTGTTTTCCTTGCTTTCTGCTTTCCTGGCTCCCTACAACCTTCATTTGGTTTGGCACCTTCACTCTTATTTGTGTAGCCCCCAGTTGATTAACAACCTTATTTGAACTTGTTTTCAAGTCCCTTACCAGTCCCTCCTCTGGGATGTGATGGCTGGCATTCACTCTGGTCTGACACATTGTAATGGTGGGTTCTACGGTGAAGGGGACTGCGGTCTAGCCCTGGATTGAATCCAACCCTTGCCCAGCTCACTCCTGAGCTGGATAATTCCAGAGACCATCTGTCTCCAGAGTCCATACACTCCCCTTCTAAGCAACAGTGGATTACACAATACCTCCCTTCCATTCCCCACATAACACTACCCAACATCGGTGTATCCCAAGTGGATCACAGAAAGATGCTTGGCACTTTGTTTGCTGCACTTTCCAACATGCTGCTTGTTGTTACAGCCACTGCCACTGTCTGGAGAGTTTATCAGGCATTCGGAGGGTGACTGTTTGCAGGGATGCTATATCTCAGGTGCTGTACGTGTATAACTGAATGAATATCATACTTGGTCTCTTTTCTGGTGGAAGCAGTAGAAGAATGGATTGTTTTCATGGGATCTGCCTCTCCTGAGAGGCTATTATTTGGGCTGCCTGAATGTTTTGAGCAATGAATTTTGGGAGGGTATTACCCATTGAGAGATATCTAGTATTGTCACATCCAAACTCTAGGGGTATATCTATGGGAGGAGGTGTGGGATACTTGTGTCATTTAAGTTTGTCTCACTATTGCAGATGTACAGTGAATGACCTAGACTTCTAGACCCAATTCTGGGATGATCTCAGGGGGACATGGCTTAGCAAACAAACCAGACCTGCTGAACCCACTGTCAACCTCTCCAATTCTAGTGACATGTGTGAGGATGAAAGCGTAGATGAAGAACTTCCCTCTTCACCCCATATCTCCTTGAGACCACTACCAAGCCCTTGCCATTCCATGCTGGGGATGGAGGAATGGTGGCCCCATGCCACTCCTTGCGGGAGACTCCACAGAAACTATCATAGGCAGAGTATGTACTTTGCAGGCAACTGCCCAGCCTGCAATCACCCTAACCAATGGAAAACTGAAAGACTGTCCAGACCACTGCTCAGAGGAAATCAACTGGTCCAGGCCAACACCATTACTTTGCCCCCATTTCATGGCATAGTGGGAAGGAAAAGGCATTCCCTGTTTCCATAAATCTGAATATGGCAGGCTACTGCTTTCAGATTGAAGTGAGAGATTTAGATGTATCAGGTAGCTTCACGTCCAACCAGCCCTGCTACCTGTCTGACCTCAAGCCAGTCTGACCTGAGTGGACACATTGGTGACCAATGACTTTCAATGCCATATACAAGGTGATACACCTGGGTCAGGGAATACCAAGATTGGGGCTGTCCATAATTCCCTGGGGAAAATGAGTTTTTCCAGAATCTAGAAGCAGAAAGCAGAGAGGAACTTTTCTGCCCAGGCATTCACTCTACCTTTTTCTCTTGGGTAAGAACATAGCTCCCAGAAGCTGATTTTGGTTAAAGGCCAACATAGCATGATAGATTATGAATGAAAAGATTATAATTATAGATTGTGCAGGCACTTTTTAAATAGTGATGGAAGATCAAAGTATAAAAGGGCTCTGGCACAGAAAAAAATTAAGATTGAATTTAGTAATACTCTACTGTGTGATGTCCCTGGCAGCATACATCTCTCTTTAGGGATTTTGAAGTCCTTAATTATCCAGCCTCACCCAGCCCTGACTCAAGGTTACATCCCTGTTTTGAAAGCCCTTCACTTCAAATACCACTTCTACCTTCTACTAGGCTACTGGATAAGAGCAAATATCAGAATGACAATCCATGCTGGGAATTTGAACAGAGACTTTCAAACTATGTTTAGCAGAGTGCTCAGTTCTAAAAACATTCCTTTAGAGATGCTACAGGATGTGTGAAGGGAGGCTGGGAAGAAGGGGCTCTAGGTCCCGTCTCCACGTAGTCTTTAAAGGAGCCCAGTTGGGCACGCTTAGAACATGGCCATGCAAGCAAATAGTGAGAGTGTGGCCCCCAGATTCAAGAAATCATTTACATCACTTTTCCTCTGACAGCTCTCAGGACAAGTACCAGTGTACAGGGAGTATTGGCTACAGAAGGATACATTGAATGATACCAGGGGATGCAATCAGCCAACTGCAGAAGGTGGGAAACTCTGTAAAATAAATAACCAGCTTCTACAACAAAGAAAACACAAGAAGATAAAAAGAGGTAGGGGAAACTAGATGAAAAGAGACTTGAGGCATACCAATTAATTGCACTATGTGAAACCTGGCTGGATCCTGCTTAAAAAAAAAAAACTAAAAAAAAAAATCTATGAGGCCATCAGTGAAATCTGACCACAGAGTAGTTAGTAGATGATTATTATTATTAAGAGATTATTAACTTTTTAGGTGGTATAATGGTAATGTGATAATAGGTTTAAGAGTCCTTATCTTTTAGCGATACATACTGAAAAATGTATGGATGAACTGATACGATACGGATTAGCTTCCAAATAAAATAGGCTGGGAGTAGGTGTATAGATGAACCCAGACCAGACAAAAGCTGTCATTGCTGAAGCTGGGTGATGGAATCATGTTGAGGGGGAGGGGAGGAATCTTCATATTAAACTCTCTACTGTTGTTTGAACTGTTTTCTAATAAGAATTTTAAAGTCATGAACACTGTGGATGGCACAACTAAGTTTCTTTTTTGTTTTTTTCTTTCTCCTTTTACCAATACCTATCATTTATGTTGCCTTTATTGCAGCCATGTAAACTGCTCTAATTTTTTCAAGAGTAAGTGCAGTAACATATAAACAAATAGATTTTTACTTACCTACCTATATACATGCTTCAGTTTCAATTACTATGCTCTTTGAGATCATTTATTGACCCAATTTGGAATTCTGTGATTGTCCTTTTTACTCATCTGACCTCCCACATTCGGGGTATTTCCCAAGTTCACCCTCTGTATCACCGATGAATAGATAGATACAGATAGGTGGTTTACAGGTAAGCCTCATCTATCTGTATATATCATGATGTATTTATACTATACACATATTTATTTATCTATTTGCAGTGTATGTAGACTTTGCTTTTAGCACTAGCTCTCAGAGCTGGCACCTCGCTGTGTCGCTGCCTTCCTTAACTACCAAAATTCATGCTAAATTCCATCAGTGATGTTGACCTCCTCCTCCAAGTGGTTCTTGAAATGTCTCTCTTACCTCCTCTC